CACGCATAAAATCAATCCTGCTGAGGAAAACTTGGGTGACCATAACAATGAACACAAGCAAATAGTTCTGCACTGTCCATCGGGCGAATGGTTGGTACAAACAGGAGGACCTGTCCCAGGCGTGCTAGTTACACACAGAAGGGCGGTACCAGAGAATGAAGAACTATCCCCACTTTTCACTTCATTCAAGAACAGGGATCTATTTAACTCTGTTTAGGAAAGGTTTCTCATTGGAGGACGCGAGGATGGGGCAATTCACAGCCGCTTGCATCCTCGTTCCATACTGCTCCTTGTTCAAGCCACACAGTATTTCCGAGGCTGCGCCCTGACTGGTGGTCCCGCACGGCTAACGAACTTGCGCTCTCACCACTACCATGCCTACTGAGCCGAGCTGACAAGGCAGGCAGTTTTAAAAAACAAAACAAACCACACACACACCCACCTTGGAGAAGTTAAGGATTTACTTACTGATCGGGCTGCTTGCACGAGTCGGTACCTAGCGCCTCCCTCTCTCGTACTAAGCCCCGACCAGCACTTTTAAGTTTACCTTATGCAAACAGGTGAACACTTTCCCCTTTCAAGTTGCAATGGGAAATAATCTTTGAATCCTCTATTTTCTTGAACTGAGCAGGAGCCTGATAAGCCTCCCGAATAAATTAAAATAATCCTGAGCTGGCCATAACCTCTCCTTTTTATCTGAGAAAGAAAAAAGCCTCAAGACTGTTCTATGTGAAATCCTTTGCTTTTTCTTCATTTCAAAGTTCACTTCTTTAAGAATGGCACTGTGTTACTGTCAACATCAGAAAGCTTAGATCCTAAGAGAAACAAACCATTACTTACACAGAATAAGTAAAATAAAAGCGGGGAAAGACTGTTTGAAGCATGGGGACAGAAAGCCATCCCAGCTGCTCAAAACAATCACATAAATGTGTTGTGAAATCAGCAGAAAAGAGTCAGTCGTCTTTATAAAAAATCAGTTCTATTGGATGCTACCTAGATGACAATCAACAGGGTTGTTACAAATCCATTTTCAAAAAATGCTAAACCCATGTATTTTTAATAAATGAAAACACTTAAGTTCAAAGGAAAATATTTCCTAAAGTAATATGTAACCAAGACACATACCAGACAGCTTGACCTCCAGTTTTCTTATTTGTTCATTTCTTCTGAACAACTGGGACGAAAGATCCTCTCTAGAGCTGCTTCCATCAGAAGCCTTGGTAGAAAAACAACACTCACGTAACTTACAAAATTTAGAAAAAGAGATCCTGCCATATACTAACTCTATGATAATGAACACTATCCCACCTAGGAATAACGCGTCAGTTTTTCACATGAAGGGGAAAGTTGTATTAGCACAGCAGAATGTGTAAAAAATGCTGAAGAAGAAAAACAGTAAGGGCTTAAATAGTCAGCTCTGCAATGCTGGCCCGTTCCATGAAATACAATGCTTTTAAAAGAAGCTATAGCTGAAAACTCGTTGTTCAAACTGATCGCTGAGGACACAGCATAATAGAACGACTAAGGAGGAAAAAAAAAATCAGGCTTTACAGTACAGGTTTCAGGATGGGTCAAAGCGAAAGTCTTTTGGAAAACTAAGTAAGCAGAAAAGAAACAGTAACGCTCTTTGTGTGGGATAAGCTCGCTTAAGCACTAATGCAGCAGTCTTCCCATGCAATGGTCTCGCCATGCAAAATCCACTGCATAACTGACTTATGATTTTCTATGGGTCTTGTTGCTCCACAAAAATCAATATTAAGAGTAGTTAAATGAGTACTGCTGAAACAACTAATTCTTAGATGTTTTCTGAAAACCACTCAAGACTCCAGCTACCCTCATTATTTGTTTTCTGTTCTCTAAACTCACAAGAGGGTCAATAAAATTTCTACGTGAGAATTTGCTAAGTGCAAAAAAATTTCAGAGAAACACAAGACTTAATGTATTTCCATTGTAAAATGTATTTAAACATTAGGAGTTCCAACTTTCTGCTTAACAGAACTGGAATTTCAGCCAAGCTTCAGAAAAAATGAGTTAAAATTCAACCCGGTAAATAACTTCTCCTTTTTGCAAACAGCAAAACAGAATCATAAAATGGCGTGCTGCAATACAGCGGGTACTGTTGGCTCCAACAGCGGAGCGACGCCGTGTCTTAATCCGGGTTTTGAAAAATACGATAGCCATCAAGGGGCAGAGGTGCCAGAGCATTACAGGGTTTCATTTAACCCGCAGGCTCCTGGAGTGGTACAGCTTGCTTAAACAACGCTTTATAACGAAAGAGCGTTTAAACCAGACATTGGAGGAACTACAACAGTTCTGAGCGCAGCAAAACCGAATACACATTGCATAAACGATCTGCTGAGTAGGAAGAGTAACAGGAAGCCAAGAGGCAAACGCAGGTCCATAGCAAGATCACAGCTAACCAGTATCTACCTTGTGTTCCTACTGCTTCAGCAATTAACTTTACAAATAGGTATCTTACACATTACTAGAATTTTATGTCTGTTTAACAATGTTCTGTATTAACATAGCTTTGTAACTCACATTTACATGGGAATACAAGCCTCCTAGTAACCACTACGGTTAACATACACACGTTTTCCCTTCAGTATTTAAGTTTATTCAAGCTAACGATTCATTTATGCATTAAGACGTACAAAGACAGTGCAATACATATTCAATTCATATGCTAGACTTAAAATGGTTTTCTGTAAAGCTGTGATAGAAAAGCTGCAAGAGACATCAAAGTTCCAAGCAAGGGGTAACTTACAAAGTCATCTCCGGAGTCCGCTCCCACGGACGTAATCGACTCCTTGCTGACAGAGCGGGGTATCCTGGCAGCTCCTCCCGGTCTGGGCGCAATAGCTGCCTCTTCTGCTATCTTCTTCTTCAATTTTGCAAACATTTTACTGCTCTATTGCACTGAAATAGCCAGGTACTTTGAAAAGCCACTATCTCCAATATGGTTAATATACTGACGCTCTGTTTAAAGCTTCCAGATGCCGACATTTAATTTTGCACCTCATCCACTCAGTTCTATTGCATTTCTAGTTCCATTAAAGCCTTCATAGACTAACAGTACCTGCAAATTAACGAGATACGGTTTCCGCACTAAAAATTTCTACTCGTATTAAGCATTTGAAGATAACGAAATGTCTTTAATAGCGCACCTGTTATAACTCGCTAAGAAGAAAGTCACCCAGCGCAGAACCCTCCACAGAAACAAACCCCAAGCCATCCCACACGGTGACAGCGGGGCTGGCCCCGCC